GCAGCAGTTTACTACTGTCAGAGTGCTCATGTTATCAACAGTCAAGCTGTGTTCACACAGTGAAAAAGCGTCGTACAAAAACCTCCCTCAGTCAGACTGAAGAGAAACTGAAGTGACTGCTGCAGCTGGAAGCTACTGCAGAGACTGATACACTTCACTGAGGACACACACACACACACGCACACACACACACGCACATACTCAACACATACAAAATTTCATTAAGTGGACTGAAAATGTCACCATTGTTCCTTTAACAGCTATTGTGCATGGCCATGACCTTTGACCTCTATCTCATTCTGGCTCCAGTTTAAAGGAAATATGAAGACAGATCAGCATCAGACACCTTCATGGTAAAAAATGGTCCAAACTAAACTCCCTCAACTCACAAAATATTATTTCAAATATAAAAATGTTGTTGTTACGACCCGTGAGGTCTGTGGATTGTGCTTGTGTTGCTGTGGGTGTCTCTGTCTCTTTTCTGCAGGTCTGTACCTGGGCCCTGAGCCTGGCGCTGCGTAAATCCCGCAGCTGGAGCTGCTCAGCGGCCATGAGTGGGTTACAAGCTGAGCCAGTGAAGTGCTCTGACTCTCACTCTTCCTTGGCTGCTCGTGTTAGACTGTATGACTTACTGTGTGGTTTATTGTGTGGTCCGTAGCGGGACGTGATCTTAACTCCTTCTCGCGCTTTATGTCTGGTGACACTGCGGAGGCAGCCGTCGGCCCGGTGTTCACGACCAACTGAAGCCGGTGTAGAGAGGAGCGGCGATCTCCACATGTGCCTCGCCAGCACTTTGGGAGCCGTAGAGACCGTGTATTGTGTTGCATATTTTTCGCTGAATATCTTGTTAATTAATTTACTTTACATAAAAAAAACCCATATCATCTCTGATAGGATGAAAGATCGCTTTAAGTTGTTAAACACCTTTTTTTGTTACTAATTTGAAATAAATACATTAACTTGACGTGTTTTGGGTCACCGATGTTTTTTTCCACCCGGTTTATTTCTCTTTGTTAGTCCCACGCCCCTAGACAAGCTGGGGACGTGACAGTTGTGTAAAGAACAGCTAAATATCAATTGGAATTATTAAAAATCATGAAGCACGTACGTCATCTGACTACATCTACACATAACTATTACTGAATACAAAGCATTTTTTTACATGCAACAAAAATTCAAATTCAGACATTTAAAGTTCTTGACCTTGGAATCAGAAATACAATCTCTGCACAAACTCTCTCCACTTAATGTTGTCAGTCTCAGAACTATGTTGGGGAATACAACATTGGCTCTATTGTCTCTGGAGACAGGAGCTAACACAAGAAGAATGTACAAATCCTTATTACTGTGGCAAATAACAGCTACAACTTTATAATGGAGGAAACTGTAGTAAATTTTACATTCAGCAACCGTGTTATTGGACTTTGTGGTCCAGCAACGTCATACTGTACAAAATGAACGTGTGTATCATAGAATGACACAGATATAAACAAGAAACAGCGATCTCTAAATTTCCTTTGGAATCTTCCAAACAATATTCGTTCAACTTTTCAAATTTGTTTAAATGCCACATGTGTTACCATAAAAACATTTAAGAATAACTCAATTGATGACAGCAAATCAAGTGTTGAATGAAACATTAAGGAACAAACAGAAGAGTAAACAATGAATATCAACCTGTGAAAGGAAAATAAATGTGATATGAAGAAGATAAAAAATTTTAAAGCTGCGGTTGCACATCTGTATAAATGTGTCTCTACAGCACAGCAGACGATTGATAGTTCTGTGTAACCCCTACCTGTTATCTGCTCTGGTAGTGACACAACATTAGATGGCAGAGATGTGCATTAACTCTGTTAGAATAAAAGAAAAGCATTTACTGTCTCTTAAATTGCTATACAGAGCAAAAATAATGGTGCTGAAAAGATGATTTGTACTGGCAGAAGTTGGTTTGTTATGATCATAGTATTTTTACTATACCATATTAAAATATAGTATAACTAACTGGAGTTAGTCAAAGCATTTCCATAGAGAGCCACTTTGCATCAGCAGCACCATGCTCCAGTGCTCTGGGAGAGTTTATAGTCCTGAGAGTTGAACACTGGATGACTGACAGCTGTCCTTCATGACAACAGAAGCCACAGAAATCCTCCTCATCAAAAACATGACTTTGATCTGCGTCCTCATCTGGACTCTCCTCTGCTGCTGCTTCACAGGTAAAGTCCAGAGAATCAAACTCCTCTCCTCTATGAACATCCGTCCGTCTGAAATGAAGCCGACAAAACCATGACGCTGCTTTATGTTTTTGTCTCTGTATCCTCAGAGTCCAGAGGCCAGGTCACAGTGACTCAGCCTGGAGCAGTGAGCTCTGCTCTGGGAGGCTCCGTCTCCATCAGATGTAGGACCAGTCAGGATGTTTATGGTGGGAGCTATTTACACTGGTACCAACAGAGAGATGGAGAAACTCCCAAACTCCTCATTTACTATGCTAGCACTCGAGCATCAGGGATTCCAGATCGTTTTACAGGCAGTGGATCAAACTCTGACTTCACTCTGACCATCAGTGGAGTCCAGACTGAAGATGCAGCAGTTTACTACTGTCAGAGTGAACATAACATCAACAGTCAGTGGTTGTTCACACAGTGAAAAAGCGTCGTACAAAAACCTCCCTCAGTCAAACTGAACAGAAACTGAAATGACTGCTGCAGCTGGAAGCTACTGCAGAGACTGATACACTTCACTGAGGACACACACACACACAACACACACACACGTCATCCATGAGGTTGAAGATTTCACAACTTTTGCTTTAACCACCAATGAACATGTAGCAAAATAATACTACAAAAAATATTAAATCAAATTACTTTGTCCATCCATTCATGTCTTTTTATAATCCCACTGTCTTTTCTGATTTGCCAAATAATCCAGAGTAGCCAGCCTGGGAAAGCAGATAAGAAAAGTCTTGGTCATGACCTTTGACCTCAGCCTCATACGGGATTAAAGCAATTTCAAATATATACATTTAATTGAAAATATGAAGACACAGATCGACATCAGAAACATTCAGGATCAGGGACTGCCCAAACAAAACCAGTACATCCATGAAAGCACAAAATAGTGTTTTAAATATATAAACTTCAATCATCAACTTCATAAAAATTCAAAAAAAAGAAGTAACCTTCTTGATATAACTATATCTGCATGTACTGTATAAAAACAATATCCAATAACACATTTTCTCCAACATGCAAATCAAAACTCCACAAATACACTGAGACTAAATGTTTATTCTTAACCGTGGAAATGGCAAAACAAAAACTCCCCACAACATCCATCCACTAACTGTTGTGGAGCTTTCAATCACATCTCATGATCTTTCTTAGCAGATGGAGTCACCCAGTTTTCAGGAAAATGTAGATTTTCAAATTCCTATTTCTCTGCATTTTTAGGACTTCATGTCCACGTTGGCCCTGCGATGGACTGGCGACCTTTCCAGGTTGTACCCCGCCTTTCGCCCGATGTCAGCTGGGATTCGCTCCAGCCCCCACGACCCTGTACGGAGGATTAGCGGTTGACGATGGATGGATGATCACGTTGGCCTCAAAGTTAAAATATTCCATGACAGCTGGGTGAACTCCATCTGCTGAGGAAGATCATGTGATAAAAACAGTAATGTAACTGATGATGACTTCCATGTTTTCTGGTTGGAGTTTCTCGAGGAAGCTCTCTGAGATCGTCGGCCTCAGAATCCCCTCAAACACCCAACACTACTTTACTTAAAGAACTTTCCATATTACAGACACCTAAAGATGTCAAACCAACATTGATATTAATGTCAGTAATAACTGTCTAAAACACCATATTACCATATTACATGTAGAGGAAGTTTTCAGTATCGTCTACATGTAAATATGTAAATATGTAGATCAACGCTCTCAGCACTGAGGGGGAAACACCATGATATGTTGAGGACAGCTACAGCTCACTGACTCTGTGTGTTTGCATATGTGTCCTGCCTCTCTTCTCCCAGCCGTTAAGAGGCCAGTGTTGATCAGTGGCTGTCCAGGCCTTTCAGAGCCACTGACACGCCGGCAGCACAATGATGATGTCACTGATTCTACTGCTGGCCACCCTGGGGCTCCTTGTTCAGGGTGAGACTCTCTTCTGAAAACTTTGCTTCAGGATGCAACCAGGTTCACCACAATGATGTTCTGCTGTGATGGAGAAACACTGAAACAAGCAGCATTTACCTTCTTCCATCTGTTCTCCATGTTAAAGAAATGAGACTCTTCTGTTTGGATGTTGATCATCTTTCTCCAAACTGGATTTGTCTCAATAACCCTTCGCCGTTTCAGTGGGAGTCAGTCTGGAACTGACTTCACTTTGACCATCAGAGGAGTCCAGACTGATGATGCAGGAGTTTATTACTGTCAGCAGGATTACAGCCGTCCGTTCACACAGTGATACAACGTCGTACAAAAACATCTCGCAGCTGGAGAGGAACTGATCTGAATCAACAGCTGCAGAGTTATAGAAACCCTTTAGTAATTTACTGACAATAAGTCCAACACATTAAAACTAGTTTTGATCTGGCATGAATTTTCATGTTTCCTTTATAGATTAGATTTAAAATAAATAAAATGTAACTTGAAATTCATAAGTTTTATATTGAAGTCACACAGTTTAGTTTTCAACAAACTTAAACACACATGTTGTATTTTGAGATCAAACTACTGATTCTGATACTATTGTGATATAATATGCTGATAATAACTTACCTCATAATTGAAATGCCACAAATTCATCATAGACTTTTAGTTTAACCAGATTCATGAAACTTTCAGGACATTTCTAAACCCATTTCAACATGAGAGTTTTTACCGATAGTACAATTCATTTATAAGCCACATATTTTAATCCTGATATACCTTGAAATAGTTTAAAAATTATCTTTGTTGTCACCAAAAATCTAATTTGCAGTTTGTGTAATGAAGCAGTTTCTACGGTCTAGCTTTAAGGAATCTTGAACAAATAATGTCTTTGTTGCATTAATGTTACATTAATGATTATCTGATTAATTGCTCTCAAAATATTACGTATTTTACGCATTACGCATGCTTTAAATTATTTTATAATTTCAAGACATTTCCAAACAATAGAAACAATCTCAAATATATTTGTACATTTATAACCTTTCTGGATTTAATGGAACTATCAAAACAGCAAAACTGTAACTTTCACCATAACATGAATTGAAAACAACAGCTTTGATGAACTCGTCTTTATTTTAATGAAACAATTGAAATGACAACAACAAAAACTAAATTTATCAATGAAACATGTAATAAGAGAGTGAGTTAGGGAAGGAAAGAGAAAGAGAGGGAGAGATCTTTGATCAATTCAGACTGAGAGCAGTAGCAGAGTAAAACCAGTAACAGAGTCCCAGTGAGTCAGGTCAGGACTGGGAACACTGGTCTCTCCTCAGTGTCTCTGAGACCAGAGCCTGGGAGCCCTGGGTGGCCTCACAGGTCACAGAGCCCACCTTCCTCCACTGGTCTGCAGGGAGCCTCAGGGTGCTGCTCCAGCTGTAGCGGCCGTCCTTCTCCAGCACCCCGGGGCTCCTGCTCTCCTCCCAGCTGCTGCTGCTGCTGCTGCCGTCCACCTTCCAGGCCAGACTCCAGTCTGAGGGGAAGCCCTTGTTGGCCAGGCACATGAGCGTGGCCTTCCCCTGCTGCAGCTCCTCACTGGAGGGGGGCAGCACCGTCAGGGTGGGACGGACATCACCTAGGAGACACCAATCAGCTTAGAGGACACCTTTGCTGTGTGAGAGCTGATTTTCTCCTTTAAGGAGTTTCTGTCAGATGTTTTTTCTGCTCCACCAGTCACTCACTCACAATTTTTTTCACTTCCCTTTAAGAAGCCTCTCATGCAAATCAGCACAGAGAGAATCATCATACAGAACGACCTGAAATATATTAAACTACAGTGGAAATAAATAACAAACTTTCTTATCAAGATCATCAAAAACTTGACTGTACAATAATTTATTCAGTGGAAACCAAAACAGAAATTAACTGACAACAATCAGATGTTCTTCATCTGGATTTCAAAGTGTTTCTTCACTTACATTAACAGCTATAATGATGAGTTGAACTACTAGATACAGTTTAAACATCGTTACTGTTCAAGTGCAAATTCAATCACACAGGTATCACTGCTCAGCTGTATCACTTCACTTCAATTTTACATGAAGAAAGTGAATTGTATTTAATTACAACAACAGCCATTATTGTGGAGAGCATTTTAAAATTAACTAATCTAAGCATTTTTACATTGAGATTGAAGTTTTATAAATTCTCCACTTCCAAGTTGATTAAATTTCATTTTGACAGGATTGTGTGAAGAACAGTTTAGTTAAGCTGCTCTGAGTTAGCCTCCATGGTGAAGGAAGACTTTGTCACAAACAAACTCACCAAAAATAGTCTCTGATTGTTTAAATTTAATATGTTAACTTTAGGGCTGCCTTAACATATTATTATCGCGTTAAAGCATTCATTAATTAACGGCGATAGATTTTTAAATTATTATTTTGAAAGTCCGTTGCTCACTGGCTCTGAATACACATAGGCCTACAATCAAACCATGGGTCACAGGAGAGGTGGGATGTTGATCAGCCTGCAAAATAACCCAAACAAGCAGCAGAGAGGCTTCGGCAGGTTCTCAGGTGAACAGACAGGGAGACAGCTCTCTGCGAGTGAACGGCAGGCGCTCTATGGATAGTAACCATGGCAACGGCCTCTGTGCGCTACACAGCCGTAGCCTTTAACTTAAATTAAAATTATACACAGGCTAACTTTACCTGATAGGCCTGCATTTAGTTTTGCGGGGATGCTCTGCCATGTGAATTCCCTCCTGTTGATGTCCTGATAACTATTTAGATTCTGGAAACTCACAAACAGCGAGGATCAGTCTCTCTTCCAATGATTTGTGCTGCGCGTCACGTACAAAAAATTCAAGACAATTCAACTTTGGCAGCAGGCGGGCGTGTGCGTGAGGCGAGCAAGACCACGACAGTTTCACGGGAACCCCAGTACACCTTGTGCTCGACCACTTCACCTCACTGTAACAGGGACACTTTCTACTGAACATAGACTGTTTCTATGTTCCCAATCCCAAGAATACTGGACTCTGATGGTAACTTGTTTTAACAAGCTAGATAAAAGGTAATTCCCTGGCAGTGGTAAATAGTTGTGGTTTAATAATTGATTTGATTACATTAATGTTTAAGTTGAGATTTACAAGAAATATTTTATTGCTGCTGTGTAAAGGGAATACTGCTGGTAAAAAGCTCTTTGCAAACCACATGTTTTTGCATTTTTGTGTATGTAGCAGTACATTTAAGTCAAGCAATACACTACTTTAGAATTCATGATTCAATTTTGTGTGTAACAATGCGATTAATCACGATTAACAATTTATTGTTGCCCAGCACTAGTTAATTTTAAATTAAATTTACATTTTATTCTCTAGCAATTAGCTGAAATAACTCTGTTGTCTAGAAGCATAAAACCAAAATCATATAAAAGAGGTTTTTTGAAAATGTCTTATCAATACTCAGGGAAATTGATTGATCCATAGATAAACAGCATCATCAGAGTAATCCAAGTCCCTGCTGGAGTCAGTCAGAGCATTTCCATAGAGAGCCACTTTGCATCAGCAGCACCATGCTCCAGTGCTCCGGGAGAGTTTATAGTCCTGAGAGTTGAACACTGGATGACTGACAGCTGTCCTTCATGACAACAGAAGCCACAGAAATCCTCCTCATCAAAAACATGACTTTGATCTGCGTCCTCATCTGGACTCTCCTCTGCTGCTGCTTCACAGGTAAAGTCCAGAGAATCAAACTCCTCTCCTCTATGAACATCCGTCCCTCTGAAATGAAGCCCACAAAACCATGACGCTGCTTTATGTTTTTGTCTCTGTATCCTCAGAGTCCAGAGGCCAGGTCACAGTGACTCAGCCTGGAGCAGTGAGCTCTGCTCTGGGAGGCTCCGTCTCCATCAGATGTAGGACCAGTCAGAATGTTTATGTTTATAACAACAACCACTGTTTAGCCTGGTACCAACAGAGAGATGGAGAAACACCTAAACGACTCATTTACTATGCTAGCACTCGAGCATCAGGGATTCCTGGTCGTTTTACAGGCAGTGGATCAAACTCTGACTTCACTCTGACCATCAGTGGAGTCCAGACTGAAGATGCTGCAGTTTACTACTGTCAGAGTTATCACAGTCCATATGTGTTCACACAGTGAAAAAGCGTCGTACAAAAACCTCCCTCAGTCAGACTGAACAGAAACTGAACTGACTGCTGCAGCTGGAAGCTACTGCAGAGACTGATACACTTCACTGAGGACACACACACACACACACACACACACACTTTCATCAAATAGATTGAACATTTCAACATGTTTGAACTAACCACCTATGAACATGTATCACTACAAGTTCAATGATTAAAAATATCTTAGTGCAAATCAAATAAATTTCTCCATCACAGCTTCTCTCCATTCATCCATATCTCATTATAATCCCATTGTCTTGTCTGGTTTGCCAATTAATAAAAAGACCCAAACTGGAACAGTGAATTTGAAAGGTATCGGTCATCACCTTTGACCTCAGCCTCTCACTGGATCACAGCTTTTTCAGCTATTTCCAGTTAAAATAAAATATGAACACACATCAGCACCATTAACCTTCATAACCAAAGATGGCAGAGCAGGACAGAGAGGGCAGATGTGAAGAACAACATGTAGCACAGACTTACTGCTTCTGTTAAAATGGCTTCCTTTCACACCAACTCCTACCTGCTTTAGGATAACAGATAAACACTGTCTGGTTGTACTGACAAAACTATCAGATGTGTTCTGTACATGGCCCTTAATGCCTTTTTTTATTATCCCCTGATCTTTTAAAATACTAGTTATCTGACCCTGTGGTAAACCCGGTCTCTAATGGAATGTGATTATTAAAAACAAAGACAGTAGTTATTCCTGTAATTGGACACCACTGATGAGATGATAAGGTCTTTATTTATTTTTATACATACACAGACTGAGTTGTCATCACTTTCATTTGGCTTGTTGTTTAAAACATTCCTGGGGTTAAAATCTCACAGTCATGTTGTATCACTTTATGCTGATTATTTCCTGCTCTGTATTTCTGTTGCTAAAAATAAGATTCCTGATATTCTTAAATTTATTCAGAGACATAAAAATTACCATCATTTCTGGCTACAAATTAGGTCTAAACAACATATAAATCTTCATTAAGAGGAATCTCCTGTGATACGAGATAAATGGTGGTTTTATATTAATATGCTTTATAGTTAGTGGTACCCCAGTTATTAAAGTATGAACAAGTGACATTAAAAAAAGACAGTCTTGCTATTATTGTGTCTTCATACCTTATTCAAATGACTGGTCCTATTATTAGATGTATGGCAAAAAAAAGAAAACCATGACATGTCAATCTTAATAAAAAATATAAATATAATCCACAAGGAAAGCATTATTTGATGAGATTTTTTATTGTGTTGAACTATTAAAACCACCAATAATACAACAGGCAAGAACACTTAATGTTAAAACGTGTAAAGGGAAAAAGACAGAACCAGAGAGAGAGATGTGAAGTTTTCATGAATTTGGATAAAACGTCTCGGGTTACGTATGTAACCCTGGTTCCCCGAGAAGGGGAACGAGACACTGTGTCAGTTACGACACTATGGGAACGCCTCTAGGCGTAGCAGGTCTGAACATGAATGAAATCACTCCAATCCTATTGGCTTGTTGCTAGAACAGTAAGGTGTGACGGAATAACCGGAGGAGTATAAAGCACACCTGTACACACTCATCATTAGCTTAAACTATGAAGCAGGCGCTTCAGGCGGGGAGAGAGGTGCGGCGGGCCGACGCAGTGTCTCGTTCCCCTTCTCGGGGAACCAGGGTTACATACGTAACCCGAAACGTTCCCCTTCGAGGGAACTCGAACTGCGTCGGTTACGACACTATGGGAACGAGATACCCACTAAACCATGCTGAAAACCCCGCCTGCCCCAGTGTGCAATAAAGTGGCACGACTAAGAGGAGAGCGCACGAGTGCCAGGTGCCGAAGGAAGGTCAAGACTGTAAAACCGAATGAACGTGTGCGGAGTGGCCCAGCCAGCCGCTAAACAAACATCCTGCAAAGAGGCCCCGGAAAGGAGGGCTCGAGAGGCCGCCATGCCTCTGGTAGAATGAGCCCTCACAGCCACAGGTGAAGGCAAACCGCGCACCTGATAGGCCAGGGAAATAATCATGAACTGAACAATCCAGTTGCTAATAGTATGTTTGGATGCAGGGAGCCCAGCCCTGGGGGACCCAAAACACACTAGCAGCTGGTCAGTCTTCCTCCAACGGGAGGACCTCAGAGTGTAATAATAATAATAATAATCCTTATTTGTAGAGCACTTTTCAAAAACAAGTTACAAAGTGCTTTAACAAGTGTAAAGAATAATACAATTAATTAATATAAAATTAGTAAAATACAATAAAATAAAAGGGATAAAATAAAGTCAAATAAGATCGGGAAAAGCTCTCCTATAAAAGTATGTTTTAAGAAGGGACTTAAAAGAGTTCACTGACTCAGCCGACCTGATTTCCTCGGGCAGGCTGTTCCAGAGCCTCGGGGCCCTGACAGCAAACGCTCTGTCCCCTTTAGTTTTCAGTCGAGACTC